GACCGTGACACTAGGTTGGTGTTGGGATAGGCGGAGACCGCGACACTAGGTGGGTGTTGGGATAGGCGGAGACCGTGACACTAGGTGGGTGTTGGGATAGGCGGAGACCGTGACACTTGGTGGGTGTTGGGATAGGCGGAGACCGTGACACTAGGTGGGTGTTGGGATAGGCGGAGATCGTGACACTTGGTGGGTGTTGGGATAGGCGGAGACCGTGACACTAGGTAGGTGTTGGGATAGACGGAGACCGTGACACTAGGTGGGTGTTGGGATAGGCGGAGTTCGTGACACTAGGTGGGTGTTGGGATAGGCGGAGACCGTGACACTAGGTAGGTGTTGGGATAGACGGAGACCGTGACACTAGGTGGGTGTTGGGATAGGCGGAGACCGTGACACTAGGTTGGTGTTGGGATAGGCGGAGACCGTGACGTAAGTAGGTGTTGGGATAGGCGGAGACCGTGACACAAGGTGGGTGTTGGGATAGGCGGAGACCGTGACACTAGGTGGGTGTTGGGATAGGCGGAGACCGTGACACTAGGTTGGTGTTGGGATAGGCGGAGACCGCGACACTAGGTGGGTGTTGGGATAGGCGGAGACCGTGACACTAGGTGGGTGTTGGGATAGGCGGAGACCGTGACACTTGGTGGGTGTTGGGATAGGCGGAGACCGTGACACTAGGTGGGTGTTGGGATAGACGGAGACCGTGACACTAGGTGGGTGTTGGGATAGGCGGAGACCGTGTTGTAAGTAGGTGTTGGGATAGGCGGAGACCGTGACACTAGGTGGGTGTTGGGATAGGCGGAGACCGTGACACTAGGTGGGTGTTGGGATAGGCGGAGACCGTGACACTAGGTGGGTGTTGGGATAGGCGGAGACCGTGACACTAGGTGGGTGTTGGGATAGGCGGAGATCGTGACACTAGGTGGGTGTTGGGATAGGCGGAGACCGTGACACTAGGTTGGTGTTGGGATAGGCGGAGACCGTGACGTAAGTAGGTGTTGGGATAGGTGGAGACCGTGACACAAGGTGGGTGTTGGGATAGGCGGAGACCGTGACACTAGGTGGGTGTTGGGATAGGCGGAGACCGTGACACTTGGTGGGTGTTGGGATAGGCGGAGACCGTGACACTAGGTGGGTGTTGGGATAGGCGGAGACCGTGTTGTAAGTAGGTGTTGGGATAGGCGGAGACCGTGACACTAGGTGGGTGTTGGGATAGGCGGAGACCGTGACACAAGGTGGGTTTTGGGATAGGCGGAGACCGTGACACTAGGTGGGTGTTGGGATAGGCGGAGATCGTGACACTAGGTGGGTGTTGGGATAGGCGGAGACCGTTACACTAGTTTGTGTAGGGATAGGCGGAGACCGTGACACGGTGGGTGTTGGGATAGGCGGAGACCGTGACACTGGGTGGGTGTTGGGATAGGCGGAGACCGTGACACTAGGTGGGTGTTGGGATAGGCGGAGACCGTGACACAAGGTGGGTGTTGGGATAGGCGGAGACCGTGACACTAGGTGGGTGTTGGGATAGGCGGAGATCGTGACACTAGGTGGGTGTTGGGATAGGCGGAGACCGTGACACTAGTTTGTGTAGGGATAGGCGGAGACCGTGACACTAGGTGGGTGTTGGGATAGGCGGAGACCGTGACACTAGGTTGGTGTTGGGATAGGCGGAGACCGTGACGTAAGTAGGTGTTGGGATAGGCGGAGACCGTGACGTAAGAAAAAAAAAGATTCCCATCAATATAAAAAAACCAGATATAAAATGATGGGCTATCTGCATGCGCTGACATCGTGACGTGAAGGGGAGGAGGTGGTGGATTTGTTTAGTTAACACTCCCTCCCTGCCTGTTCTTTATCGGCGAGAGAAAAAAAACATACTTTCATTGGCGCTTTTTATTCGTTTTCATGCGTTTGTTGTTTTGTATCTTATTTCCTACCACTTCGATGTAGCCAACGCTGTACTGCCTAAAAATAGACGCTAGTGCCGGCTTCATCATGTGAATCTACCTTAAGTGTATTCCTGTTTTAGAGTTATGTAATAGAATTATATAATAGAGTTCTGTAATAGAATTGTGTAATAGAATTATGTAACAGAATTATGTACCAGAATTATGCCAGATGTACTTTTATTAATGTGTTCTAATTGTACTCTCGTGCACATAAACATGGCTACTGTATGTGTAGTATCAAGCTATGACGCTATACCTTATGCTAGTACGTTGCCAGGTGAGTTCACAGTGAGACCATGACCGATTTAGGGGGTGGGAGGGGTGCGCCACCGTCTTGTGTGTTGGGGAGGGGGGGGGGGCATGTTTCATGTGTTGGGGGGCACTATCTTGTGTGTTGGGGGTGGGGCATGTTTCATGTGTTGGGGGGGGGGCACTATCTTGTGTGTTGGGGGTGGGGCATGTTTCAAGTGTTGGTCACTGTCTTGTGTGTTGGGGGTGGGGCATGTTTCATGTGTTGGGGTCACTGTCTTGTGTGTTGGTGGAGGGGGTGGGGCATGTTTCATGTGTTGGGGTCACTGTCTTGTGTGTTGGTGGAGGGGGTGGGGCATGTTTCATGTGTTGGGGTCACTGTCTTGTGTGTTGGGGGAGGGGGGGCATGTTTTATGTGTTGGGGGCACTACCTTGTGTGTTGGGGGTGGGGCATGTTTCATGTGTTGGGGTCACTGTCTTGTGTGTTGGGAGAGGGGGGGCATGTTTCATGTGTTGGGGTCACTGTCTTGTGTGTTGGTGGAGGGGGTGGGGCATGTTTCATGTGTTGGGGTCACTGTCTTGTGTGTTGGGGGAGGGGGGCATGTTTCATGTGTTGGGGTCACTGTCTTGTGTGTTGGGGGAGGGGGGCATGTTTCATGTGTTGGGGTCACTGTCTTGTGTGTTGGGGGAGGGGGGCATGTTTCATGTGTTGGGGTCACTGTCTTGTGTGTTGGGGGAGGGGCATGTTTTATGTGTTGGTCACTGTCTTGTGTGTTGGGGGAGGGGGGCATGTTTCATTTGTTGGGGGGCACTTTTTGTGTGTTGGGGGGGGGTCAGTGTCTCATGTGTTGAGGGGGGGGGGAACAGTGTCTTGAGGTTTAGACAATGTCTCGTTCACCAAGTCTCAACAACGCGCTAGATTTAGTCACCCAGGGTATTTGAATGTATTTTACTTCTCATATTGAACTCTTTCACACGTCATTGTTTTTATACAGATCAGCTCTACTTCCCCAGCCGTTGAACTCAAGTCTTTGATAATTAACTCGCTTTATTGATTTCATAGTTGATCGAGAAAAAAAATTCTTTTGTCTTTGAAAAATAAGGAATTTAAATATTTTTTGTTTGTTTTTCAAGAAGAACAGGATGTTTATAAATATATCTCTGTGTGGTTAATACAGTGCGTGACAAAATACGTGAAAATATTTCGGCAAACTATATCCGCTTTAAAATAAGTAAATAAATTAGCAAATAGTTTCAACATATCTGCTATAAAGAAAACTTAGATAAAAATAATTTGTTCCTAGAATTTGTTCAGTATCTTGGTGTACACTTTAATACAACTCAACATTATTGCGTCGTTTTGCCTGCTATGGATATCTCAGATCCAGTGGTGGCGTCCGACGTTGAGAAATGGCAGAGACTTCACCTGCAACTCAACACTGCTATATAGTGTGAGTGTGTAGGTAAACAGTGAGAGCAGTATTAAACTCGGAGCCGCCTGACGTTGAAAGATGGCCGTGAAGGTATATCCGGGTTGTAGGGATAGAGCTAGAGAATGAAGGCTGACGAATCTTATCAATCAGTCGGGGGGTGGGGATTTTTCGTTAAAATGTTTAGGCTACGTTGTTGAAATAATAGGTTCTTGTAATCAACCAGTATGTGAGAGTGTGAAATAAAAGGAATTTTTTTCGCTATCAAATGACAAGATCTGTGTGTGTATGTGTGCGCCCGCGGATATCAGGTGTGATTTAGCTGCCATCTTATATAAACCCCCATTGCAGTGCTAACAATCCCTTATGTTTTTCTTTATTCTATAACAATGGGTACTTGCACAACAAAGTGTATTTTGAGCTTTAAAACTCAATAGACTTGTATGTTGATAATTCCAAAGCAAAATAAGTTTCGGTCTTTTAAAAAAAAAGGTATTTAAGTCTAAAGCTATTCTCACAACAAAACGTACATTGTTGTCTTCAACGCTCTGTAGTTTATCAACACAGTGTGTAGTAAAGTGAACTGAGGTGGCACTTTTTATAACTGAAATACAAACACATTGGAAATCATTAGTACTATTAAAATATGTACAGATTTACACTGATTTAAATTAGTTTAAATAGTTTTATCCTGATTTATAATTATTTAATTAGATGTACACTGATTTACTGGTATTTAAATGGATTCACATTGATATACAAGGATATAAATAGACTGGCTCTGATTTATTCTAATTTATAATGATTTATAAATATTTAAATAGATGTACTCTGATTTGCATTAATTTAAATCGATTTACAATGATTTACAATGCCGTAATTAGTATTACTCTTATTTATAACGGTTTAATTAGATTTACAACTATTTACAATGATTTAAATAGATTTACTTTGATTATGTGAAAATATACGTCATTATTTTGTTTATTACATCCACGCCCTAGATTTAGTTTGACGCTCACCCCATACCACCCCCCCCCCAAAAAAAAAACACATCACAACACTGATAGATTACGACTGATAGGGGGAGGGGGTAAACGTTCGCTTTCTTAGAATAAACTCTAAATAAGAACCAAAACAAAAAAATATTCTTGTAACTCTATTTTGGAGCAGGACAGACGGTAACGTGATGGAAAATCTGGCACTTTTTACCTCACGTTATCAGCGTGAGCAGAAGTTGCCAGGAGCAAGCCGTGTATATAAGCCAAAACCTGGTTCAGCGCTGGACTAGTTTGGTGTAGCACTGGTGAAAGGTGGTAGTGGTTCCTTAGATATTTTTAAAATGAATCTGTAGAGTTATCGTTCCTTCTGGGGAATTCTACTTATCTTCTGCGTTTTTTTTAAAGATTTTTAAATTAAGATCTCACAAGATTTAAAGTTGTTTTCTTTTAAAAATAAAAATTGTTTAATTATAAACTTATGTGGCTGTAATGATGATGGGATTAATTGGAGCGACATTTGCTGATAACTCTAGCAGCAGAAACTCTGTTCGAATGGAAGTGGAGAACCGATCAGCGATGAACAGCACGACGACCATCGGGCTCCAGACACACTCTCTGACCAACTCCTGGAGCACCGAGTTCGTCACCATACTCGTCATCGTCAACATCTTCGCCGACTTCTGCATCGTCGTCGGCAACTCCATGGTCCTGCTCGTCATCGTCCGGCACAAGAGGATGCGAACCAGGACGAACCTTTTCCTGGCGAACCTCGCAGTCGCCGACCTGCTGGTGGGGCTTGTCGTCGTCCCCTTCACCATCACCACCCTTATTGAGCAGACGTGGATCTTCGGCCACACCGTCTGCTTGATGAACGGCTGGATGAACAGCTTCTGCCTGATCGCGTCGTTCCATACGTTGATGTACATCAGCGTCCACAAGTACTTCTCTATCGTCAGCCCCCTGCGCGAGCCGCTGACCTTGAAGTACATCCTAGCCATGATGGCCGCCGCCTGGCTGTGGGCGGCCGTCTGCTCCAGCATGAACGTTTTGGGCTTGAGGGTAGAGTACAAGGTGGGCACGTCACAGTGCGGCCCGCGTTACCCCCACGACACGACGACGTACCTCATCCACGGCGTCATCCAGTGCACGTGTCTGGTGATTCCATTTTGGTGAGTAGCCCCCCCCCCCTGTGTCTGTGCAGGTTACTTGCTTGCCGTAAACAACATGTCAGTCTCTTCTTATAAGCTATAAATCTTACAGCACGTTATGTGTAAGTTAACGTAAACTAAAAAATGTGTTATTTTTTCACATTTCGTATAAGATAACGTAGGCCCTAAACTATGATTTCTAATTTCCCTTTTTGTATAAGATAACATAGGCCCTAAACAATTACTTCTAATGCACATTTTGTATAAGATAACGTAGGCGCTAAACTATGATTTCTAATGCACCTTTTGTGTAAAACAACGTAGACTTAAAAACGAATGACGCCCTATTGCACACGGGTATAGATTAGATCAGCTCTCCGTGTCGGTGCGTAGAACAGGATGCTAAGTGCAGTATGGACGTAGTTACGTGTGTTATCAGGGTTTTCAAGTATTGAAATACATTTTTTTATCTAACATTTAAACGTTTTACATTAATAACGTATGTATGATATATCTGAATGTATCTTTACACCTCCACCTCCTCCACTACAACTCGTAAAGCCTTACCTCATTAAATACCTGCTGTGATAACACTGACCAGTTTATTAAAACACGGGCTGTTAGGTCAAAATAAAATCACATCGATTATGTATATGGGGATATAGCTCAGTGGTAGAGCATTCGACTGCAGATCGAGAGGTCCCTGGTTCGAACCCGGGTGTCCTCTTTGATTTTTTTCCCTTTTTTTTATTGTTTTATTTTATTGTTATTTTGAAGCTGCATGTTATATCGAACATATTTTAGTTGTTGCTTTTATTTTACTTGTGTCATATAGGGTCTTTTAACTGGCTTAATTTGTTTAAACGTAAAGCTAATGTATACATTATTCCCCTTTTTCTAACCTTGTGTAATGATACCCATACACTTGTGAGAATAATTTCCTTTTAGAACCTCCTGATCTTCTAATTACTCCCCTTTACAACACATCCTAATCTTCAAATTACTCCCTTTTACGGCATCTTGATCTTCAAATTATCCCCCTTTACAACCTCCTGATCTTCAAATTACCCCTCTTTACAACCTCCTGATCTTCAAATTATCCCCCTTTACAACCTCCTGATCTTCAAATTACCCCCCTTTACAACCTCCTGATCTTCAAATGACCCCCTTTACAACCTCCTGGTCTTCAAATTACCCCCCTTTACAACCTCCTGATCTTCATATTACTCCCCTTTACAACCTCCTGATCTTCAAATTACCCCCCTTTACAACCTCCTGATCTTCAAATGACCCCCTTTACAACCTCCTGGTCTTCAAATTACCCCCCTTTACAACCTCCTGATCTTCATATCACTCCCCTTTACAACCTCCTGATCTTCAAATTACTCCCCTTTACAACATCCTGATCTTCAAATTATTCCCCTTTACAACCTCCTGATCTTCAAATTACTCCCCTTTACAGCATCCTGATGTTCTGCTACGTCCGGATCTTCTGGGAGATCAGGAAACTCTCCAAAAGACTGATCGACCACTCGTCAGCTGAGACACAGGCCATCATCGCCCAGGAGAAATCCGTGGCCATCACCATGTTGATCGTGCTGGCCATCTTCGTCATCATGGCCCTACCGTACCTGGTCTACGCCTCCTACACGACGGTGGTGAAAGACAAAACCCATTTCCCGAGCTTCATCAACCCGCTGGTAGGTGTCGTCTGTCTTTGGTAGTGTTGGTGTTGTGTCGTCTGTCTCTGGTAGGTTTGGTGTCGTCTGTCTGTGGTAGGTTTGGTGTTGTCTGTCTGTGGTAGGTTCGGTGTCGTCTGTCTGTGGTAGGTTTGGTGTCGTCTGTCTGTGGTAGGTTTGGTATCGTCTGTCTGTGGTAGGTTTGGTGTCGTCTGTCTGTGGTAGGTTTGGTGTCGTCTGTCTGTGGTAGGTTTGGTGTCGTCTGTCTGATCTAGGTTTTGTGTTGTATCGTGTCTGTGGTAGGTTGATGTCTTCTGCCTGTGGTAGGTTTGGTGTCGTCTGTGGTAGGTTTGGTGTCGTCTGTCTGTGGTAGGTTTGGTGTTGTGTCGTCTGTCTGTCATAGGTTTGGTGTCGTCTGTTGTAGGTTTGGTGTCGTCTGTCTGTGGTAGGTTTGGTGTTGTGTCGTCTGTCTGTCATAGGTTTGGTGTCGTCTGTTGTAGGTTTGGTGTCGTCTGTCTGTGGTAGGTTTGGTGTTGTGTCGTCTGTCTGTCATAGGTTTGGTGTCGTCTGTGGTAGGTTTGGTGTCGTCTGTCTGTGGTAGGTTTGGTGTCGTCTGTCTGATCTAGGTTTTGTGTTGTATCGTGTCTGTGGTAGGTTGATGTCTTCTGCCTGTGGTAGGTTTGGTGTTAAGTCTTCTGTCTGTAGTAGGTTTGGTGTTGTGTCGTCCTTGGTAGTTTTGTGTCGTCTGTTTGTGGTAGGTTTGGTGTTGTGTTGTCTGACAGTAGTAGATTTGGTGTTAACAAAAGTTAGCATTAAGCACAAAATCACAAAAAGCACATCGAATCTTAAAGTTTAAAGCTATGCATTACGAACCACGATGCGAATACGAATAAATTGTCAAAGTAATTTAGAGAAATATTTCTTTTTAAGAGTTCTTCGTATGCTTCATATTCTTCGCCAGACTAAAATAGACAGAGCAATATTCTCCACTGTGATAAGGTTTACATCTGACGTCACGTCATAGCAATGTGAAACTGTCTAAATATAGGCCTCGTCTAACGCTTTTAAAAATAAGAGTGAGCATCAACAACGGCACCCACTGTGTGTGAGAACAAACCCCATTGGTTTATTTGTTAAGCTAGATCAACATCCTGTAGGCCAAATTTTTGTCAATATTTGCCGTCAGAATGGTCGTAAAATATGTATTTAAATTTAAACTTGAAAGAAACGTTACATTTTAATAATCAATATTAAAAAATGTCCAAGTGTGGCGAACTTTTCTTACATTTTTATTTATTTATATTTATTTATATCAACTCGAAATTTTAATCTAAAGTTTGAATTTATTTAGAAAAAGTTTGGCTATTTTATTAAATGCTGGTTTTTAACTCCGCAGCTCCATTTTTGTTCAAATTTTTACCTGTAATTTTTTAAAATAAACTTTCAGTTCTAAACGTCAGCATGGACTATAATGTTGCACATTTGTTTACATTTCCATTTGAAAATGAGATAAATAAAAAACAAATTGTTTTTGCCTTTTATTACTTTCTCGTATATACGAAGTAGAGAGATAGTCTAGTAATCGTGCAAAAAAAATCGAGATTTTCGCAAATTTCATATATAAGTATTTTATCAAAATCGTAGATCCGTATAAACTTTTGAGCGATTTCCGATAACCGGAAGTGGTACTTTTTTTACTTTGAATTTTTCAAAAGCCTATTACATGAGTACTATTTCAGATAGATAAATGAAATTTCAGATGTAAGTAGAAGATCTAATTCTCTACCTTCTGTCAAATTTTGAGTAATTTCCGATTTCTCAAAAACTAATGTAAATTTATAAAGCACTAATAATATTCCGCACTATTATGCACATTTTATTTGGCGTTCACTGGTGTGAATTATTTTTCTACGAGATTTTTTTTTTTTAAAGTTTGAAGTATTTAAAATGTATTATAATTCATGTCTATATCCCGAGTTCCCATCCCCCTTTTTTTACTTTCTCGTATATACGAAGTATAGAGAAAGTATTGTAATCGTGCACAAAAATCACTTGAAATTTTAACAATTTTCACCGTATTACACCTCAGTCCTTCATCACATCCGAAGTATAGAGGACTTATTTTAATCGGGCAAAAATTATCAATCCAGATGTATCAAAATTAAGAGGTTTTGTGTGTAATCCAGTCTGAAAAACTGGGCTTTGCAACTCTGTCCGTATGTCTGTGTGTGTGTGTGTCTGTGTGTCTGTCCGTGTGTAAACACGATTACTTGAGTACCGTTACAGCTAGGTTGATGAAATTTCATATATAAGTAGTTTATCAAAATCGTAGATCCGTATCAACTTTTGAGCGATTTCCGAGAACCGGAAGTGGTACTTTTTCTACTTTGAATTTTTAAAAAGCCTATAACTTGAGTATTATTTCACATAGATAAATGAAATTTCACACATAAGTTAAAGATCTAATTCTCTACCTTCTGTTAAATTTTGAGTAATTTCCATTGACCGGAAGTAGTAATTTACGCTACTTCCGATTTCTCAAAAAACTAATGTAAATTTTTAAAGTACTAATAATATTGCGCACTATTAAACACTCTTTTATTTAGCGTTCACTTGGTGTGCAATTCATTTGTCTACGAGATTTTATTCTATTTTTAAAACTTTAAGTATTTAAAATTGATTAAAAATCATGTCTATAGCCCGAGTTCCCATCCCCTGTTGTTTTTTTTTAGAATATTCGAGAAAGTTTAGGGGAGATCACTCCCGGTTTATTATATAAAAATATTCGAGAAAGTTTAGGGGAGATCACTCCCGGTTTATTTTTAATTTTCATGACCAAACATATTTTTAAAAACATAAAATGAATCCAATCTTTAGAAAACTCATACAAAAACCACAAAATCAAGTTTTTAAAACCACATCTGTTTTAATAATACCGCATTGCTATAGAGTTTTCCCAGTGGATGCTATTGGGGATTATATAAATAAAAATTTTCTTTTTTTAGAATCTAAGAGTAAAAATTCTTGCTCTTCTTAATTCTTTTTTTTAATGTTCCAAGGGTTAGGCAATTATAAAAGACAGCCTAAAACGAAAAACACACAAAAATTGCATATAAAACATTATTTATTTCAACTTTTCTTTAACGACGCAAGCTGAACACACTATTTAATCGCGTTTAACCTCACACACACATGCGAACTAATTTTTTAAAGATTAAAGATGATTCGTAAACTCGAGAGAATCTAACGTTGGAGCGATAGACCAAGTCACTCTCAGATATTAGAAGATAATCTCAGATTTGACAACTAACCTGCGGTGTTAAATCAAGCATGTTAAACACATGCCAAGGTAAATGTTATATCAAATAATCTTAACCAGCACCGCACAGCCGAACCTTGGCTAAACAAAACTTTCAATCTAAACTAATCTTAACCAGCACCGCCACACCACACAGCCGAACCTTGGCTAAACAAAACTTTCAATCTAAACTAATCTTAACCAGCACAGCCGAACCTTGGCTAAACAAAACTATCAATCTAAACTAATCTTAACCAGCACCGCACAGCCGAACCTTGGCTAAACAAAACTATCAATCTAAACTAATCGTAACCAGCACGTGCAGTTGATATTAGGTTACACTAAACTTAACCAGTCTAAGGAACACATCTGGTCAAGCCACACTTAACCTAACCAATCTAAACTAAACTTAACCAGTCTAATGAACTGATCTGATCAAGCCACACTTAACCTAACCAATCTAAACTAAAGCAGCCCAAGGAACTGGACCTAGCCAACCCACATTAAACCTACCAATCTAATCTAAACTTAATCAGCCTAAGAAACTGGACCTAGCCAACCCACATTAAACCTACCAATCTAATCTAAACTTAATCAGCCTAAGAAACTGGACCTAGCCAACCCACATTAAACCTACCAATCTAAACTAAACTTAACCACCCTAAGAAGCTGAACCTAGCCAACCTACCTTAAACACAAACCAAACTAAACTTAACCAATCTAAACTAAACGAATCTAAACTTACTCTAAGTCTACGGACATTGATTTCTCGGAACTTTGCTATCACATGCCGTTAAGCTTATCAGCGAGAGTATAATTGTGTGGTGCCCACCTAGGGTGTATTCACCTGCTGCCCCCAGGTAAGACCTAGGTGTAACATTACTCAACCAAAAAAAAAACAACATTCGCTGCAGACTCAGATTTAGCCTGGGCCAAATAATTTTTTCTTCCAGTGTTTCCTACCTGATGGCTTGCTTCGATGCAGGGAGGGAGAAAAAATGTCAAGTTTTTTATAATAAAACACGTAAACCGCCAGCTCATTTTTAACAGCCTAGTCGACCTCACAGCATTATTTTTATGTTATTTACCTTATTTTTTTCTCTTTATCTCAAACAAAGTCTTTTTTATCTTTCTCCTTTAAGGAAATGATAGTCGGATGATTCAGTCAGTCGTAATTTTTGTAATGATCATGTTTTTTATAGTCCATCATGTTTGATAGATCATGTGTTTTATAGTCAGTCATGTTTGATAGATCAGCTGTTTTATAGTCAGTCATGTTTGATAGATCAGGTGTTTTATAGTCAGTCATGTTTGATAGATCAAGTGTTTTATAGTCAGTCATGTTTGATAGATCAAGTGTTTTATAGTCAGTCATCATGTTTGTTAGCCAAGTGTTTTATAGTCAGTCATGTTGTTTGATACATCAATTGTTTATATTCAGTCATCATGTTTGATAGATCAGGTGTTTTATAGTCAGTCATGTTTGATAGGTCAAGTGTTTTATAGTCAGTCATGTTTGATACATCACGTGTTTTATAGTCAGTCATGTTTGATAGATCTGGTGTTTTATAGTCAGTCATCTATGTTTGTTAGATCAGGTGTTTTATAGTCAGTCATCTATGAGTTTGTCCAATGATCAGATTTGTATCCTTGTGAGCAAGCAGATGTAATGTGGTATCCCCGCCTCTACAACCCAAAGGTCTAAATTTAAGTTAAATCGCAA